TAGATAGATAGATAGATAGATAGATAGATAGATAGATAGATAGATAGATAGATAGATAGATAGATAGATAGATAGATAGATAGATAGATAGATAGATAGATAGATAGATAGATAGGGTAGGGTGGAATAGGATGAGGATTTGACTGGGACCCGGACTGCTGTGGGTGATGTCTCCCCCCCCCTCCCAGGGCTCGTGTCAAACTTTAGTGAGGTGCGGGGAAATGGGAGGGTGGAAAAGAGTTTATATGTGGAGAGGGAAGTTAGGGATTGTAGATTAGTTAGAGGAATAGGTGAATTTTTAAGTGTTTTCGTCTTTTTTGTTGTTTTGTGGGGTGCACAACGGGACTAAACAAAAGATCGAGTATGGAATGGATATGGGGAAAAACGTAAGGGTAGCTACTTTAAACGTGAAAGGCCTAGGAACTGTAACAAAGAGAAGGAGAATAGAATCACTATTGAAGAAAAACAAGGTTGACATTATCTATCTACAAGAGACACAACAATTGAAAGATGGAGTTAATGAGTTGAAATTACAAAATGTAAGTATTTATGAAAAAGGATTTGGGACTTCTAAATCTAAAGGGGTAGCAATATTAATATCTAAACACTGTAAATTTACAGTAAAAGAAGTAATAAAAGATAGTAATGGAAGATATTTGATAATTCAGAGTCAAATGGGGGAAGAAGATTATACATTACTAAACGTCTATGCACCGAATATGAATCAAGGAGAATTTTATAAAATATGTGTTTAAAGAGATGGAGAAGGTTAGAAAGCGATATGTGATTATGGCAGGAGATTTCAACACGGTTCTGGATAAGGTAAAGGCTGAATAAGTATGTAAAAAAGACGAGTTGAACAAAAGAAGTACCCTCTTAAGTAAGATGCTAAAAACTACGGATTTAAGAGACATATGGAGAGAACTGAAGGGGGATGAAAGGAAGTTTACATATTACTCTTCTGTACATAATAGTTATTCAAGGATAGATTTTATGTTCATATCGCAAAATTTAATTTCAAAAGTAGTAGATACAAATAGTAATGTGATAAAGGTAACGGAGCATGCGTTGATGGTGATGGAGATGGAAGTAAAGAAGGACTATAGAGAAGCTAAGAGATGGAGAATAGACTCCAATATTTTTCAGTATCCAGATGTAGTGGATAAAGTTAAGAAAGAATGGTTGGAAATTAATGAAGCAGGTGGGAACAAAATAGGAGTGTTATGGGACACTATGAAATCAATACGGAGAGGAATTGCTGCAAGAGAATCCTGTAAAAATTAAAAAATTGAGAGAAGAAAATATAAGAAAAATAGAAAAATCATTAAAAGGTTTAGAAAGCAAATATTTTATAGATAGGGATAATTAAAAAAATTACTAGAGATTCAAGCTAAAAGAAAAGAATTAGAAAGTGTGGCGTTAGAAAGGGTCCAGAGGGACTTGTAAATGCAAAGAGGAATTTTTTTGAATTTAGTACTAAAAATTCAAAGCTTTTAGCTGGAATAGTACAGACTAAAAGATCAAAAAATACAATTGGAGTGATTAAAGATGAAACAGG